GGGGAGAGGAAGGACGAGAATACCTGTCTTCTCAAATGCCTCCGCGGAAAGGGTCTCTGTTATCGTTGTTGCTGAGTTTTGAAACCCAATAGAGACTTAAAAGTTTCTCTTCATTTCACACTGGCCACATGAGATAATATCTGCCTATCTCCAGCTTTGTTTAAAAGAAACTTAACTCAAATTCAAACTTTTAGCAAATTTCGTTCTTAACAAAAGGAGGGAGGGTGATGGGCGAAAAGCCGTGACATGTGATAAGTCGATCTCCTCTCTCATAGAAACTACCTCGCCATTGTTTAACAAAAGCAATTAATCAGTTTTTCCACGCGTGTTCTTTGCCTTATCATATTTTTTTTCATTTCAAGCCAGCAAAAAGCAATATCAACGCTTCATTTTTCTTTATACGTATTCAGTAGCGCACAATTATTACACAGCTCTTGATAAACTTAATTCTATACGATTAACATACAAAAACGAGTGTTGTTTATTCTCGTCACGCTACACCCTCTCTTTTTTGCGTGACGGGACCAAACAATAGCTTCAGAGGGGTGTGAGGAAAAGATTGATCGGTCTAGGTTTCCACGGCAACAATATTGACTCAACCCAATCCTTAGAGCTAACCTCATAACCCAAATTCGGTTTAAGAAGAGTCTTATAAGGCCCAGTTGCTTAGGAAAGTTCAAGCAACATCACCATCGAGTTAACGGGTGCTATCTACTGTTTCCCTAATGGCTTTTAAATCAGTAATAATAATATCCATTGTCATGGATGCTCTGTCCTCCCAACACCTTGTCATTAAGCTCCAACACGCATCACTCACTGACGGAATCTGGAATTCTTCATCATCCTTACATGGTAGAATTCCATTTTCCACTGCTGCTTGCATGGATTGGATAGTTTTCATGTCTTTGTATACTTTCGGTCTTGATGTACCTCTTCCCTCCAAAAGCACCCATAGAAGCATTCCAAATGCATAGATGTCGTAGGAGAGGTAACTGAGGTGACCTTTCCCGTGGTACTGGTACATTTCTGGTGACACGTGGAACGGAGCGCCCAGAGTGGTCATGTCGTATGGACACTCAGGCTTAGCGAGGTTGATCGTTGCTCTTCCATCAGACATTAACTAGGAGAAATGAGAGAGTTACCCACATCAAAATTTTAGCTTAAAGAAATGTAATGAGGAACATGACCTTAAGATTTACAAGAACATCAAGTAAAGATCATAAAGGAGCACAAAAAGTCTTTTTACACGGTAATCAAAAGTTTAAATGATCGCATGAGCAAAAGCAAAGATTAATAATGCACAGGCAAGCAAACAAACCAAACGAACGTGTGTTGTGATCTTCAGCTAGGGAGAGTCCCCAAAAAGAATTTCATTGGTAACAGTGACTTAAGGAGCAAAAACCTTGTCATCATCATCATCAAAGCTAAGTAAGGAGTTGATTGTGAGTCGAATGTGATATGTCTGGTTTGGTGGCAACAAAACAAAACATAAACAGTGCCAGTCTTGTCAAATCTTCTCATTCTTGTGATAAATTATGGCAGAAGCACTCAAGAAAACTCGGAAAATGTGTCATGCTATTACGGTACTTTCTTACTGAAAGGAAAAACCGTGAGCTTCCTAAAATATCTCAAAAAACATGACTCATCAAATTAGACAAACAAACCAAGATATTTCCGGGCTTGATGTCCTCGTGAATGTAGCCGATTTCGTGAATGGCCTTCAGTCCTTCAGCCACGTCTAGAGCCATCTTGATCCTCGTGATCAGTTTGGAGAGCGAGGAACGGGCCCAGGCCGAGGCAAGCTCTTTGAGAGCACAAAGAAGACTCTTCTCTGCCTTCTCCATGACAACATGTAGTACATCCGGCTTAGGGAAAACCCAGCCGTACAGCCGCAACAGATTGGGATGGGAACCTTTTAGTTTCTGAATCATATCCCTAAAACAAAAAGGTAAGGTAAGCTTTAGAGGAAGCTTTAGTACTGCTACCCCACCCTAGATGGGATACCAGTCCAACACATCTTTCAAAGTCGACTTTGAAACTTTGATAATTATACTGAAAAAGTAACTGAATTGGTTACTTACATCATATTGACGAGATCCACTGCATTCTGCTTCCAGGCACTTTCACCAACTTTCTCTTTCTCGATCACTTTCACTACGCACTGACCACTGGGCGAGCAACGGTACCAACTAACGCTCGCACAATCAAAGAGTTGGCCGTGGCGTGTTTTCGCTACGAGTGAGCCGCATGCTATTGGCCCATGGTTCTGCACATATTTCAAAGCCATTCCTTCGACGGCAAGCATTCGTATCTCAGGAGTAAAACGAAGACGAAGATCTTCAAGCTGCTCTGTAGCTTGGCAACTAGAAAAGGCCGTTTGCAAGCGCATGAGAAATTCCATGGTTGATAGAAACCGATCTCGCATCCTCTGAAAGCGATCGAAACAGGCTTCGAAAACTGCCTCTGCAACCCTCTTTTCGTCGATAGTGTCGAAAAGGGATTCAACGACTAACTGTCGACGTGTTTTATCAGCAACATCCCTTTTTGTGCAAGTCGTCATCTGTTTGGAACTAAGGGGTCCCGAAATTTCTTTCCTCAAAGCAACCCTGGCAGCTTCCTTTATGGAATCCAAAAGATGGTTAAGAATATCTTCAATAACTTCGTGTGTTTTAGCTTTTGCTTCAACGAAATGCACTCCGTAGCTTTCCTCCAAAATTTTAGAGACCATGGGGTGTGTTAGGTTCTCGTTGAAGTCAATGATGGCTTTGATAAGATCACTCGCTACTTTGTCCATCAAGGATTCCACAAACTTGTCGAGGGAATTGCACATTTTTTCCAAAATGTTGCCTTTCATATCACCGAGAAATCGCTCCAAAATAAAGTCCTCCCTGTTCATTTCTGATAATTGTTCGGGCGAAAATGCAACTTTAAGATCTGTTTTGATCATAGTCAGAGCTCTCTTTCGCATAGTACGCTGGTTTGGAATTTTGTATTGTAATGCATCCTGAGAAAATTCTTCCTTCAACGACTTTATATGCTCCTGCAATCTCTGCTTTGTATCCTCGGAATCACTGGATGTAAAGGATCTTAACGAGTCGAACATTTTACTTTCTATCTGGTACGCCTGTCTCGTAATTTCTGGTACGATGGATGCTTCCTGAGTGATTTGGGATCTTTGCACCTGGACAACGTTCACAAAGCTTTCTTGTAAAACCAGGAGGGCTTGAACGATCCT